GGAAATGAGTTCTCTCCATCTCCAGCTGGTAGATTTGCTTGTCATCTCTGCTGAAAGTGAGGTGGCAGCAGTTGAAGCTCAGTCTGCCTTGAAATCTGAAAATGGAGTGTTGTACAGACAAACCGATGAGCAAATCTCTGCTCTGCCTGCCCCCTCATCCTTTTCTGCTTTCTAAATGACAAGGCAAGGGCAGGGCCTCATCCCAAACTGGCTATGGGAGGTTTGGGCAGGGCAGATTTTACAAAGCAAAGAGCCCTGCCGGTGGAAACACCAGCCCAGGTGTTTCTGCACCTAAATCGTGTACAGTGCCAATGTTGCGATCCCTAAGCAAGTTCCAAAAGCCTGATGGTTATCACCACTGTGCACCAGTAACAAGCCACCTCGGTCTAGCTGGAGATGTGATAGTGCTTCCAGGAATGATTGTGTGTGATGTGAACTCAGCCCCTGATTCGAAATATTATGCAGAGGAATAATAAATCTTGGTTTTAAATTGCTGCCCCACTTAAGCTTTGATTAGACTCTGATGGTCTGTTCACCCTGGAGCTGCTGGTATTAATCTGCATGCTAAACCCTAATTATAAACTGCTCATGGCATTTCCAGATGATATCAAGATGTTTGGGATTAAAAGAAACCGTGATGTTGAGTTTACGGCTTAAAATGACCGTTGACTACCTGGTCCCCACAGATCTAATAATGCAGCTCTGCATGGGCAGGAGAGGAGGAAAAGAGGTAGATTTGACCCAAGTGTGTAGCAGAAGTCTGTGGGTCTGTAGGAGAGAGGGCTGCCTCCAGGCTGGCAATGTGTGCACACACACGTGTAAGGCGATACACATACACATGTCCTTGTGCAGGTGCCCTTTGTTCCCAGCTCAGCCTTGTTCTCATCCAGCCCTGAACAGAGCTGCAAAGAGGGTTTTGTAGCTGCAGAGCTGTCTTTGGCTCCCCAGCACCGGGGTATTGGCAGAGGAGAGCCCAGCACTGGAGATATTGCTAGGGATGGGATGGGATGGGATGGGATGGGATGGGATGGCATGGCATGGCATGGCATGGCATGGCATGGCATGGCATGGCAT